GTAGTGTGGCTGTAAGAAAATAAGAGTCAGGGGTCTGGGAAGACATCTCAGTGTTTTAAGTAGCAAATGGAGTTCATGAATCATCTGGAATTCCAGTGCTCAGAAGGCAGACACAGGAGAAGCCAGACTGCCCTTATTGGAGAGTTCCAGGTTCAACTGAGAGACCCTCCCTCTGTGAATAAGATGGAGTGTGATGAAGGAAAACTTCTGGGTGCAGTGGTTAAGAGCACTTATTGCTCATGCAGAAGACCCAGGTTCAATTCCCAGCACCCATACGGTGGCTTACAACCATCCATAACTCCAGTTCCAGGGGATGCAACATCTTCTGGCCTCCAAGGCACTGCATGCATGTGGTGCACAGCCAGACATGCACACAAAACACCACCCACATACAAAATAATAAAATTTTTAAAAAGGAAGACTTCTGACATTGGTCTCTGGCCTCTATGTCCATACACACACAAATACCTGCACACACATGCAACCATACATGTGAACATGCATACATTCATGAAACCACACACATATGAACATGCATACATGCATGCAACCATAACACAGAGAAAGAGAGAGAGAGAGAGAGAGAGAGAGAGAGAGAGAGAGAGAGAGAGATGGGTGGGGGGAGAAGGGTGGTTGTGTGATATTTTGTTTGTGTTTCAACAAATAAAGCTCTTGCTTGGAGTCAGAGGGCAGAGCTAGCCACTAGTTAACCATAGAGGTCTGGAGATCTGTACAGAGAGGAAACAGGAAGTGATAAGATGGGACACAGAGAGAATCTAGGCCCTTTTGGTCAGAGGAACCAAAGAAGTAGGAAGTGACTGTGGCTGCTCCTCTGCTTATCTGATCTTTCTGGTTTTTATCCCAATATCTGACTCCTGATTTTTATTGATAAGATTAATTAGATTTCTGTATTGTCTGGTATCCCATGTTGGGCACCATACCAAGATAAGATAGATAATTAATTGTTTTCTCTAATTTTGCCAAATGCAAATGGATTGGATATTGTTACTCTAATTCTTAATAACTGTTCTGTTTTATATATATATATATGATTTTACTATATTAAAAACAAAACCTTCGATTGGAAAGATGGCTCAGAGGTTAAGAGCACTGGCTGCTCGTCCAGAGGTCCTGAGTTCAATTCTCAACAACCACATGGTGGCTCACAACCATCTATAAAAAGATCTGGTGCCCTCTTCTGTCATGCAGGCATACATGCAGGCAGAGCACTGTGTACACAATAAATAAATAAATCTAAAAAAAACAAAAACAAAAAACAAAACAAAAACAAGCTGGGTGTTAGTGGCACACGCCTTTAATCCCAGCACTCAGGAGGCAGAGCCAAGTGGATCTCTGTGAGTTCAAGACCAGCCTGGTCTACAGAGTGAGATCCAGGACAGGCACCAAAACTACACAGAGAAACCCTGTCTCAAAAAAATCTTCCTTTTTAATTATACAATAAGGGTTGTGAAATAATCCTTCTGTACACTGTGAATATGTATTGCTCTCATTGGATAATAAAAAGCTGACAGGCAGGAAGTATAGGCAGGACAGCCAGACACAGAGAACTCTGGGAGGAGGAAGGGCAGAGTCAGAGAAGTCATGAGGGAGAAGCAGAGGGAGCAGGAAATGAACATGCCATGCTAATAAAGGTACCGCTACATGACAGAGCGTAAATAAGGAATATGGGTTAACTTAAAATGTAAGAGCTAGTTAGTAATAAGCTTAAGCTATTGGCCAAGCATTTATTTATTTATTTATTCATTCATTCATTCATTTATTTATTTATTTATTTACTTATTTTAGTTTTACGAAACAGGGTTTCTCTGTGCAGCTTTGGTGCCTGTCCTGGATCTTGCTCTGTAGACCAGGCTGACCTCGAACTCACAGAGATCTGCCTGGCTCTGCCTCCCGAGTGCTGGGATTAAAGGCATGTGCCACCACCACCTGGCACCTTTTATAATTTATATTAAGCCTCTGAGTGATTCTTTGGGAGCAGGTTGTCGGGAAACATCTGTTTACAGGTGGTTCTAACTTATCCTCAGGGTGAAGTGGCAAAATTCTAATGTGGAGAACATCATGAAAGGAGAGGCAGAAAGACTGTAAGAGGCAGAGGACCAGGAAGACGGCTGTGAAACAGTCTCCCCTAGAAATGGCAGCATAAGCAAGACAGGAATGATGGCAATATCGATAGACATGTGCTAATATAGAAGGAGGACATCTTTTCCAAGTCCCACTCCTAGACAGAGAACTATAGCCATCTAGTGACTGCTGGGAGAGAGGAAATTAACCTCTCCCTGGGATAAGCCCCCTCATTAGTTATCCAGTACGAAGTGGTCAGCCCTGGAACCGTATACACAGAAACAACGAAAACAACTCAGCAGGCTGTATTTACACATTTGTGCATACATATGCATGCATACAAACCAATAATAATCAAAGAAAACAAGGCTATCGATTTGAAAATGGGGGGTAGAAGCCATGGGAGGGTTAGAGGACAGAGGGAGGAGCTAAGGAGGAAAAAGAAGGGAAAAGTGATGTAATTCTATTTTCTTTTAAATAAATTAAAAATATTATAAATGTTTTACAACTCAAAAAAATAAATTTGTGTTGAGGCTGGTACCCTCCACGACAGGGAGTCTGATACTAAGGCTAGGAGTGAGACATCAAGCCCTCTGAGATCTCCTGGATGCAAGGACCAGCACTTTGCTGATGGAGAAAAGGTATAAGTAAAACAGATTCTGTGTTGATCTTACTAACTCACGATCACAGTAAAATAACTCTAGGAGATGTGGCTGTTAGTCAATCAGCTCCTACAGGGGCCAGCAAGCTTTCAGCTCTCACTGATGCAGGATGAGATTAAGGAGCTCCCTTGAGAATCGAGGGCCTTGGTCACTCCACTGTCAATCAGCAGCAGGAGTGCCCACGGGGACATTCCTTTTTGTGAAGACCTAAGACTTGAGTTTCCTTCCCTTAAACAGTGAAAGGGAAAACTCAGGTGAGGGCTGGAGAGATGGCTCAGAGGTTAAAAGCACTGACTGCTCTTCCAGAGGTCCTGAGTTCAATTCCCAGCAACCACATGGTGGCTCACAACCATCTGTAATGAGATCTGGTGCCCTCTTCTGGACTGCTGTCAAACATGCTGTATACATAATAAATAAATAAATCTTTAAAAAAAAAAACAACCTCAGGTGAGCTAGGACTTGATTTTGTTTGTTTGTGAGATCAGTGTTGGATGTTGAACTCATGACCTCAAGCATTCTAGGCACTCCATCCCTGGCCATCGAACTTGAATGTGTACCTCTTCTACACTATTAAGTCCTTCCTGAAGTTTTCTAACTTAACAGTACAGAACATCTGTTGCGGCTCCCCTGGCGTGCTTGCCTGGGTAGGCTGAGGAGAAAGACTCACCTTTCCGTGTCCTCTTCGCTCCTGCCAAAAGATAAGCTACCTGTGGCAATGACTGTAGCTGGGGGGATTGAAGACACAGTAACCCACTGCAGCAAAAAAATTCAACCCTGGAGGAACCAAAGAAACTACATCAAAAAGGCATCTTTCATCTGCACACTGGCAAAGGCTGCTTCCCAAAGAGAAGTGGAGGGAAGACAGACCGTGCTGCATGGCTCTTGGGTCTCACTGCATTTGTGACAGCAAGACATTCAGATAGGCGATTCTGATGTAATGGGGGTACAGCTCAGTGATAGTATAGCTCTATGAGAGTGCGTGCTCTGCAAACATAAGGCTCTTGGTGGGATCCCCAGCATTACTACACACCCCCAAAAAGATCACCCCATTTTTGGATTAGAAAAGAAGTCATCGGGCCAGGCAGTGGTGGTCCATACCTTTAATCCCAGTACTTAGGAGGCTGAGGCAGGTGGATCTCTGTGAGTTCGAGGCCAGCCTGGTCTGCAGAGTGAGTTCCAGGACAGCCAGGAATGTTACATAGAGAAACCCTGTCTCAAAAAAAAAAAAAAAGAGTCATCGATATATTTTCATTGTATGCTTGTGTGTGCGCTTGTAAAGGTATGTGCGTTAGTGGAGGTGCCCATGGAAGCCAGAGGCTTTAGATCTCCAGAAGCTGAGGGTGCTCGGAGCAGAATTCAGGTCCTCTGCAAGAGCTCATCATCTTAACCTCGAAGTCATCTCTCCAGCCCTTAATACAATGTTTAAATCCTAGAATAATTTATGCTGAGGAGAATGGGTTAAATGTATCAGCTTCTCTTTCCTAGGAGAGATCTTAGCACTAATTAGGTCTTCTCTGGGTGGTAGTTTGACATTTTTACCACCAGGTGGCAGTGTCTCACTGCCTTCCATCTACTCACTGGGAATTCCGGAGAAGTCTGGTTAGCCCCTTCTAAATACACATGAACACTCGGTCAAAAGTGAAAAATAATGCGGAGCAAACTTAAGAAATCAAGCAGTGCGCCGGGCGTTGATGGCGCACGCCTTTAATCCCAGCTCTTGGGAGGCAGAGGCAAGACGGGTCTCAGTGAGTTCGAGGTCAGCCTGGTCTACAAATCAAGTTCCAGGACAGCCACACAGAGAAACCCTGTCTCGAAAAACCAAAAAAGGAAGGAGGGGAGGGAGGGAGGGAGGGAGGGAGGGAGGGAGGGAGGGAGGGAGGGAGGGAGGGAGGGAGGGAGGGAGGGAGGGAGGGAGAGAGAGAGAGAGAGAGAGAGAGAGAGAGAGAGAGAGAGAGAGAGAGAGATCAGCAGCAACTCAGAATCCTGTTGTGCTCCTCCCGGCTTCTGAGCAACAGCAGAAATAGCAATCGTTGAAAACTGGAGAGAATGGTAAATTTGAACCGACACAGAAGGCGTAGTGGGGAGGGCTGCACTGCACAGAGAGCTGTAATAATGCTCTTTAGAAGGCGCGGGGGGGGGGGGGGCGGCGCAGGGGACGACACTTATTTTTTGGCTTAATTTTGTTGGGGGTTGGTTCAATTGTTCAGATTTTTTTTTTTTTTTTTTTTTTTTTTTTTTTTTTTTTTTGGAATAGTTTTGGTCTTTTGCTCTCATGGCCAGCCACTAAAGTACCTAGTAAGGAAGAGACTCTTGGTCAATGGTAAATTTCATCTTTTGAAACAGAATAGGAAGAACATTTTATCGGGTACACTCGGGGTTTCGGAGTACGTATAGAGCTTTCGGGGCTGGAGAGAGGGCTCAGAGGTTAAGAGCGCTGACTGCTCTTCCAGGGGTCCTGAGTTCAACTCGTGGCCCATGGAGGACAGCAAAGTGAGGTTAAGCTATCACACGCAGTGAATCTGGAAAACTGCCAGGCACTAGGCCGAAGGCTTTCCCTGAATTCTGCTAAATCACCACCACAGTCCTAATAGCCTGAGTTTGCATAGGAAGAAACTAAGGCCCTAAGGAGTGAGATAAAATGCCTAAGGTCATGCAGGGGGTAAGTGGAGGCAATTTAAATTTAAATCTAAACCAAGCTGCAGAATATTCATTGTATCTAGAGGAGACCTAGTTGTAAATAAATGTGTTAGAGTTTCAGTTCCATAATTTATGGCTTAGTACTATAGGCCAATGTATATAGGAGGATGGTGAATATCTGTAGAGATAAAGATAAGCAATGGGGTAAAACAAAACAAAACTTCTCTTGAATAACATACCTATTTTCCCAGGGTCCTTTCTTCATCCTCTTTCAGACTTGAACTAATTCACACACGCACACGCACACACACACATACACACACACACACACAACATAACATATTCAACCAAAAAATGGTGAAAGTAATTGACCAAGATGGGGGGGGGGTGCTAAACCTCATAGACACATAATCAGGTCATTGACTCCCTCCCATGTCATGTCCAGTCTCTGCTCCAAAATTCACTGCCCTCTCCTCACCTCTGTCTACTTCCCCATGTACCAGCCACCCTGTCCACAAGTGCTATCAAAGCCAGGCCTGTTGGCTCACTCCAGTAATCCCAGCACTTAAGAAACTGAGGCAGGGAGATTGCTGTTTGGTTCAAGACCAACCTGGGCTACACTGTGAGTTCCAGGCCAGCCTGGGTTAAAGAGTCATCCAGGTCCTTATAAAGCACTCTTCTACCAACTGCCACTGCCTCCAGAATTTCTATGGTGTCACCCACTCCCTTCTTGTCTTGCCCGTTGTGATACCTCAAAAAGTATTTTATACCTGCTTACAAGGCCGGTACCCCTGGTTTCTCAGAAGTATATATGCAAATATCACTGAGAAAGTGCTGGTGGTTGGGCTGGAGAGATGCCTCAGAGGTTAAGAGCACTGACTGCTCTTCCAGAGGTCCTGAGTTCAATTCTCAGCAGCCACATGGTGATTCACAGACATCTGTAATGAGATCTGGTGCCCTCTTCTGGTGTGCAGGCATACATGCAGGCAGAACACTGTATAACAGATAGATAGATAGATAGATAGATAGATAGATAGATAGATAGATAAACTGAAGTCTGAACAATTACAAAATAGTTACATAAGGCTAGGAGAGAAGCTCAATGGTAGAGTATATAATACCAACACTGAGGAAAAAGTTAGAAATGTTTAAAAACTACACAATAGTCAAAAGAACAAAACCTGTTTTATATTGTTATGTATTTACTAGTTACCACTATCAAAAAAACAAAACCCTTCATCCATGTTCCTTAAGTACCCTAATTAAACTCACTGGGACACACTCACACACACACTCACACATCAGAAAGTCGGACTATTTGGGAAGAGGAAGGAGATCAGCAGGAAGGGAGGGCACAAGAAAGGGTAGGGGATATGTGATGGTGATTCTCGGTTGTCAACTTGACTACATCTGGAATTCACTAAAACCCAAGCAGCCGGGTATACCTGTGAGGGCTTTTGCTTGATTGAATCATTTGAAGTGGGAAGAGCCATGCTAAATCTGTATCTTTTGAAGCAGAAAGATCCACCTTAAATCTGGACCACATCTTCTGGCAGCAGACTATAAAAAGGACAAGGAGAGAAGGGAGTCACTGCTCTTGGCCTGCTTGCCCTCACTCTCCCTGTAAAATCCATTCCTTCACTATGTTAGAGCCTACTTCTTCAGGATTCCAGAATTACTGAAGACCAGCTGAGACATCCATCCTCAAGGACCAAACAGCTATTGGATTCTTAGATTTAGGAGACAGCCATTGTTGGAATAGAGTGGCTTACAACAGCCTGTAAGCCACTCTAATATATCCCATGTATATATTAGATATCATCAAAATATTCTCAGTACCTAGGAACTGGGGCATACTTCAGTGGTAGAATGTGGGCTTAGCAGGTAACTAAAGCCTCAATCTAAAGCACAAAAAGAGAAGGGGATTTTTTTTTTTAGTACTTAAATAGTCACCAAGGGCTTCCTTTCCTAGGAGTGGTCTCTAAAATGGAATGAATTATTATCTGACAGTTTAATGAATGAACAATGGCTTAACTAATCAGCTGCTGAGATGTTACTATTACCCCCACAATGTTGAAGAAAAAGGGCAAATTCTAGAAAGCACCAAGAAATTACGTTACGACCTGCTTTGCTTTCTACTTGTTCCTGTTTCTGGGGTGTATGTGGGGCGGGGTGTGTTTTGCGTAAGTATATGTTTATGTGCCTGTAGAAGCTAGAGGTTAGCATGGAGTATTTTCTCAGTTCACTCCATCTTATTTTTAACATTTTAATTATATGTATATGTGTATATCTGTGTGTGGGTATGTGCATAGGAATGGCCCTCGGAAGCCAGAAGAGGGATCAGGTCTCCTGGAAATGGAGTTGCAGGTAGTTATCCTATGTAGGTGCTGGGAACTGAACACAGTCCTCTGCAAGAGCAGTTAGTGCTCTTTAACAGCTGAGCCACCTCTCCAGCCCCTCCGTCTGATGGGAGCTCTCCAAATGGCTAGACTAGCTGGCCATCAAGGCTCCCAGTATCTGCCTATCTTGGCCTCTCAGCTCTGGGACCATAGGCAAGGTTTTTTTATATTGGTTCTCATGTTTACACAGCAAACATTTCACACACTGAACATCTCCCCCATTTCCTTGCCTTGTTTCTGCTCTGGGTTGTAGTAAAGTGGGAAGAAGTTGTTCCTAAGATAAACCCCGCTTCCTGGAAGTCTCTTAAGAAAGTCATTTAATCTCCATGGGTTCCAGTTTCCTCATCTGAAAAGTTCAATTTAGAGATGGTCTCTAAGACCCTTTCTAGCTCCAAATCCTGGAACCACATTTCTAAATTAAAATGACTCATCATCGTTTCTTTTTTTTTTTCTTTTTTTTTTATAATTTCTTTATTTTTATTTTATGTGCATTGGTGGTTTTGCCTGAATGCATGTCTCTGTATGAGGGTGCGGTATCTTGGAGTTACAGACAGTTGTGAGCTGCCGTGTGGGTGCTGGGCATTGAACCCTGTTCCTCTGGAAGAACAGTCAGTGCTCTTAACCACTGAACCTTCTCTCCAGCCCCTCTTTTCTTTTCTTTTCTTTTTTTAAAGACAGGGTTTCTCTATATAGCCCTGGCTCTCCTAAAACCCAAACAGTAGACCAGGCTGGCCTCAAACTCAGCGATCTGCCTGCCTCTGCTGGGATTAAAGGCGTGTGCCACCACATCCAGGTGAAATGACGCATAATTTCTAACATTCTGCAGTATATGTCCTAGTTGCTCCAAAAACTTGCCTCTGAAACTTGACCCTTCTTTGTCTTTCTGGTTCGTTCGTTCTCTGTTCTGAAGGCTTTGTTAGGGGCTTGGGTTTCTCACAGCCCTCTTGTTCCTGTTTCTTACTAATGGGCAACCTTAGGATCCCCGGAACTTTAACAAACAGTTCTTATAATTTCACACACACACACACACACACACACACACACACACACACACACACACACACACACACACTCTGCACTCTCATCCTAACCTTCTCAGCCCTTCCCCCACACCCTCCCTTTCCTGTCCCATTACCTTTCTCCTCTTTACAAACTCCAGTTTCTCTGGTATTTAAAGGAAAGCCAAGAGTGAGCCCTGTCCTCCCTCTCTGGAATGTTTAAATTCCTGCCATCCCTAAGGGAATGCACTCTGAAAAGGAATACCAGCCCAGACTCTGAATGACCCTCCTTGCTCTTCACTCCCTCCCTCTTCCCCTGAAGCACCATGGCAACTGCCACCTGAAAGAGAGGCTAGGGCAGCCATCTAGCCAGACTGTTTGCAGAGGCTCTTCTCCTCCAGCAGCTCTCCCGGGGCACTCCCCTCCCCTCCGCTCGGCACTGCTGTGTCCTTTTGCTAACAGGACAACCAACAGGACAGTACACATAATGCTAAGAGCCAGGGTGCCCTGTACACATTTCCTCATAGATGTTCAATATCTATTTGTTTTGTTTTTCCAGACAGGGTTTCCCTTGTGTAATCCTGGCTGTCCTGGAACTGGCTCTGTAGACCAGGCTGGTCTCAAACTCGGAGATCCACCTGCCTCCGTCTCCCGAGTACTGAGATTAAAGGTGTGCGCTTCCACTACCAGGTTCAATATCTGTTTTTTGTTGTTTTGTTTTGTTTTAATCTTGAAGTTCAAGCCATTTTTCAGTTCTGTAGCAAGAAAGTGGGGCTCATGAATTAGGCAGAAATCAGCAGGACTGCAGGCAACAGTGTCGCGCTGGGGTAAAGAAAAAGCTGTCCAGTCAAGCACTGCTAACACTCCTTTCCAGCTCTCCAGTGACCAGCTTGGAGACTTTGAGCAGGAAGCTGTTTTCCCTCTCTACCACCCAGTTTCCCTACTTATGTACCAAGATGTGCTGCATGAGCAAGGAAAGCAAAATGCATGAGGCCTACCTTTTATGAGATGAGATTCTGCAACTAAATCTACGTATATCATACACCCTTTGAAAAGCTACTTTAATGCTAAAATAAGATAATGCACTCAAAGGCCCCAAAGTGAAGATTATTGTCACAAGTAGAAATCTCACATGTATTTCCGGATTCCTGATTCAGTCCCCTCCCGACTAAGTCAAGTCATAGAGCCGTAATATTCCAGGTCTTCAGAAGGTAGAAAAACGGCTCCGATAAAATGCCTGTGTTTCTGTGAGCAAACTAGAAAAAGAACAGAGCTGTGTCCTGAGAAAAGAGTCCTCAAATGAAATGCCAAAAGGTTTCTTGGACCTCCAGGTGACTATAATTTTACTTTTAGGACAAATCCCTCTTTGAGTTTGATATCACAATTAGATGGCTAAAGGCGCGTACATCTTAACACCACTGACAAGCGCTGGTCAAGAGTTGTATGTACACTTGAGAAGCATGTTATCCACTCGTCGAGGAGGGTGCTTGATCACTCATCTGCATGCCTCCACCTGTCTGCAGGCTGGGGGTCAGAAGCCAGCCATCAAGGGAGTGTCTCAAACTTCACTCTGCGAAAACCATCTAAGAGACTGTTTAAACTTGGAGTTTTACCTCCATCGATTCTGATCGAGTACTGGGGCAGAGTGCAGGCATGTGAACTCTCCATAAATTCTTCATGCGATTGCAATACTTGGGAATCACCAAATGGCTTCTCATTTTTCTCCTCTTAGAGTCTCATCCTGGTCACCTTCTCCTTTCTCTCACTGTTCTGGCGTCTGTAACAGTGATGTTCTACTCAAATGACATCGTCGCATGCAAGAAGGAAAACCTCTGGCTTCGGGGTGGCCGCAGACACCCACATTCATGCGCACACATACACACTTACATCAATAAATATACACAAAACACATCCTTAAAAAGCAATTTGCATCTAGGCACTCTGCATATACGTTAGCCGTTACACGTGTGTTATATGTAAGGCATGGTCCTCTTGTGGGACTCTTAACAGTGGGAGCAGGGGATGTCTCTTTTATGGGCTTTTGGGACCCTACTCCTCATCCTGGGTCACCTTGCCCAGCCTTAATACAAGGGGAGGTGCTTAGTCTTACTGCAACTTGATATGCCATGTTTTGTTGATACTCAAAGGAAACCTGCCCGCCCTTTCCTAAACAGAAACAGAGGAGGAGTGAATTGGGAGGTGGGGACAGAAGAGGTGGGGGGGGAGGGACTGGGAGGAGAGGGAGGGGAAACTGCAGCCTGGATGTAAAATAAATAATAAATAAATTTATTAAAAATTAAAATTAAGCTGGGCCGTGGTGGCACATGCCTTTAATCCCAGCACTCGGGAGGCAGAGGCAGGGGGATCTCTGTGAGTTCAAGGCCAGCCTGGTCTAACAAGGGAGTTCCAAGATAGGCTCCAAAGTTACACAGTGAAACCCTGCCTCAAAAAATTTTTTAAAAATTTTAAAAATTTTAAAAAAAAAAATTTTTTAAGCGATTTACCCAGCCTGGTCTACAAATTGAGTTCCAGGACAGCTAGGGCTATTCCACAGAGAAACCTTATCTCAAAAAACCAAAAAATAAAAAATAAAAACAGCAATTTGCTGGGGTTGGAGAGATAGCCCAGTAGTTGAGAGCACCAGCTGCTCTTCCAAAGACCCCGGGTTCAATTCCCAGCACTCACATGGCAGCTCCAACCGTCTGTAACTCCAGTTCCAGAGGTTCTGGCACCCTCAGAGAGATATATATGCAGGCAAAAAAAAAAAAAAAAAAAAAAAAAAATCAATGCATGTAAAAATAATTTTTTTTTTTTAAAGGCAAGCCTAGAACTCCTTATATAGTCCAGAATGGTCTCCAATTCACTATCCTCCTGCCTCATCTTTCTTTCTTTTTATTTTTTATTATTTATTTATTTATTTATTTATTTATTTATTTTTTGGTTTTTCGAGACAGGGTTCCTCTGTGTAGCTTTGGAGCCTTTCTTGGAACTCACTTGGTAACCCAGGCTGGCCTTGAATTAACAGAGATCCGCCTGGCTCTGCCTCCCAAGTGCTGGAATTAAAGGCGTGCGCCGCCGCCGCCGCCGCCGCCGCCGCCGCCGCCGCCGCCGCCGCCGCCGCCACCGCCACCACCCGGCCCTGTCTCAGCTTTCTAAGTACAGTGTTCACAAGTGTGAGCTACTTATCCTAGCCTTAAAATGAGTTAGTTTTGACACCAAATTAGCTTCATGCTCATGTTTTGGTTTTATTTTATTTTATTTTAGTCTTTTGAGACAAGATCTCACTATTATGTAGACCAGGCTGTCCTGGGATTCACAGAGATCTGCCTGCCTCCGTCTCCCAAGTGCTGGGATTAAAGGTGTGCCCTACCATGCCTGGCTCCTTTTTTTTTAAAAAAAAAAAGATTTATTTCTATTATTTTTAATTGGGGGTTGGGGGGAGGCACTGTGCAGATGAGTACAAGTGTTTGATCCCGTGGAACTGAAGTTACATATGTCTGTGAGATACCTGCCGTGGGTGCTGAGAACCAAACTTGTACCCTCTGGGAGAGCAACAAGTGTTCCAAACAGCTGAGCCACCACATCAGGTCAATCAGCCCTTTGTTTTAGTTTTATTGTGGTACTGGGGCTAGAACCTAGGGTCTTACAGAACCTGAGCAGGGGCAGGTCCTGTACAGCTGAGACCCCTCCACTTCCTCTAGGTTTTTGTTTTCTTCCATCTCTTTTTTTTTTCCCTTTAAATATTTATTTATTTATTATGTACACAGAAGAGGGCACCAGATCTCATTACAGATGGTTGTGAGCCACCATGTAGGTGCTGGGAATTGAACTCAGGACCTCTGGAAGAGTAGTCGGTGCTCTTAACCACTGAGCCATCTCTCCAGCCCCCTTCTTCCATTTCTTTTTTTTTTTTTTTTTTTTTTGGTTTTTCGAGACAGGGTTTCTCTGTGTAGCTTTGCGCCTTTCCTGGAACTCACTTGGTAGCCCAGGCTGGCCTCGAACTCACAGAGATCCGCCGGCCTCTGCCTCCCGAGTGCTGGGATTAAAGGCGTGCGCCACCACCGCCCGGCCCATTTCTTGATATACAGTCTCATCCAACTCGGACTGGCCTCAGATTTGCTACGTCACCAAGGATGACCTAAAACTCATGATCCTCCTGCCTCTACCCCTCAAATACTAGGATAATAGACATGGGGCACCACACCTGATTGATTTTATGTCGTGCTGGGATCAAACCTAGCGCCTCCCGCATACGAGGCAAGCGCTCTACCAACCGACCTACTATGTCCCCAGCCGATCGGTATTTTAATGACCACATTTAAGAAGAAAATGAGCCGGGCGGTGGTGGCACACACCTTTAATCCTAGCACTTGGGAGGCAGAACCAGGTTCGAGGCCAGCCTGATCTACAAAGCGAGTTCCAGGAAAGGCGCAAAGCTACACAGAGAAACCCTGTCTCGAAAAAAACCAAAAAAAAAAGAAGAGGAAAATGAGCTACACCAGGCATAGTGACTCATACCTGTAGCTTGAGTTTTTTTGCCTGGCCCACAGTCAGGACAAATCTCTCTCACCCGCCAGTCCCAAGCCGCTCAAACCTGATCAAGTAAACACAGAGACTTATACTGGTTACAAACTGTATGGCCGTGGCAGGCTTCTTGTTAACTGTTCTTACAGCTTAAATTAATCCATTTCTATTAATCTATACCTTGCCACGTGGCTTGTGGCTTACCGGTACTTTACATGTGGCTTGTCATCATGGCGGCTGGCAATGTCTCTCTGACTCAGCCTTCCACTTCCCCGCTCTATTCTCCTCCTTGTCCCGCCTATACTTTCTGCCTGGCCACGGGCCAACCAGTGATTTATTTCTTGACCAATCAGCAACACATTTGACATACAGACCATCCCACAGCACTTCCCCTTTTCTTTTCTTTTTTTTTTTTTTTGGTTTTTCGAGACAGGGTTTCTCTGTGTAGCTTTACGCCTTTCCTGGATCTCGCTCTGTAGACCAGGCTGGCCTCGAACTCACAAAGATCCGCCTGCCTCTGCCTCCCGAGTGCTGGGATTAAAGGCGTGCGCCACCACCGCCCGGCCCCCTTTTCTTTTCTTAAAAAGGAAGGTTTTAACCTTTACACATCTCCAAAGTCAGCTTGGTATATTTGGGAATTTGGGCGTAGCTTCTCTTACTACTTCCTGCTGGAGGGGGGCGCTGTATCTTCTGGGGAAACAAAGAGAATTTTAGGATCATGGAGTAGTCCGTGAGGCTGTATCATCTGAGCCAGTTGCCTTGAAACGGTTCTGGATGTTGGATCATCTGGGCCATGGTGTCATTGGAGACCTTTCAGGTGGTCTTGGCTGGTCAAACCTGATGTGTCTTAATCTGGAACAAATCCATAGCCTCTGGCTTTCTGTGGAAACAAAAGCAGAGTCTCCTTTCCAAAGTAACATATCCTTATATCCAAATTTTGAAGTCAAGGTACCTTTAAAATATGCATATTGGTTTAACTTAGTTTCCTTTACAATCAAATATCTCTCTGTAGTTAAGAATCCCAAAGACAACACAATCCAGATTCTCTGTGTGATATCCATCTTTACGGGGCTTATTTTTTATATTAATTTTACTGTCTCTTTAAAGACTTTATTTTTTTAAAACTATGTATTTGTTTCTATACTGTATATATCACCTTTTTTTTCTTTTAAGCCTACGTATATTTTACATACATTCTAAACTATTACATCTGAATCTGTCTTATTGTGAGTCTATTGCTTTAAGCTGCAGCAGCTGTGGCTGCTGGCTCCGCCCACCTCAGCTTCCCAACATGGCGGCGGTATGCTTACCGCCAGCTCTGGGAGCTATCGTGGGTCTATGCTTTTATCCAAGCAGCATGTAGCCCAGAAACCTCTTTTTTTGTTTTGTACTAGCAAAGGCTAAATCCACCAAGCAGCTTAATGTGCCACTTGCAGAGGCCTCATTCCCGCCATACCGCAGGTCAAGCGCGCATGATAGGAACTCACCAGTAGCTCAAACCAGCAGCTGCCGCTCATTTGAGAGAGACAATTAGGAACTGTTTTTAGCTCCGTTTTAGAATCTTTTTTCTCAGTTTTTAGGTGGAAACTCTTGCCACCACATTGGGCGCCATTTGTAGCTTGAGTTTTCCTGCCTGGCCCACAGTCAGGACAAATCTCTCTCACCCGCCAGTCCCAAGCCGCTCAAACCCCACCAAGTAAACACAGAGACTTATATTGGTTACAAACTGTATGGCCGTGGCAGGCTTCTTGTTAACTGTTCTTACAGCTTAAATTAATCCATTTCCATTAATCTATACCTTGCCACATGGCTCGTGGCTTACCGGCATCTTCACATGCTGTTTGTCATCATGGCGGCTGGCAGTGTCTCTCTGACTCAGCCTTCCACTTCCCCGCTCTATTCTCCTCCTTGTCCCGCCTACACTTCCTGCCTGGCCACGGGCCAATCAGTGATTTATTTCTTGACCAATCAGCAACACATTTGACATACAGACCATCCCACAGCACATACCTTTAACCCAGCACTTAGGAGGTAGAGGCATGCTGATCTCTGTGAGTTCGAGGCCAGCCTGGTCTACATAGTGAGTTCCAGGACAGCCAAGAAGACATAGTGAGACCCAGTGTAAAAACAACAACAACAAACAAACAAAAACAAAGGAAGGAGGGGGGAGGGTAAAGAGATTTGGAGACTCTGGGAAACTAAAATGGTCTGGAAATCATGATGCGGGTTCTCCATGTTCAGATCAGCCTGGAAAAGGCAAGATCAGCCGGCAGGAATGTCTGGTTGCCAGGAAGCAACAGGGGATTTAGTCTGCGTAGTTTCAGAAAAGAGGACTGTGGAAGAAGTGACAAGTAAGCACAATGCTCCACAAAGAAGGGGCCAGACCCACTTTGCTATTATTCCTTATGTTTGCGTGTCTGTCTGTGTGTATGACGTATAAGTGTATTGTGTATACATGTGTGTTTGGGGGGGCGGGGGTGTGCCTGATGTGTGTGTACTGTGATGAGTGTATTGGTGTATATGTATATGTGCTTGTGTGTGAACATATGTGCTTGTGTGTGTATATGTATGATATATGAGTGAGTGTGAGTGGGTGCCACAGCATGCATGTGAAGGTAAGAACAACATATGAGAGTCAGCTCTCTCCTACTATCGGTCCCAGGGACTGAACTCGGGTCCTTAGACTTACACGACACGTGTGTTTTACTCTATGAACTATTTTTCTGGCCCCTTAGCATACATTTGAGCAAAGCCAGAAACAACCTCTCTACCCAAATGAGGGAATTGGCTGACGCCCACGTGGTCTGGCTTTGTGAACTAAAGACTTTAACGACACTACAAGTCATTCGTAGGACTTATTAGACCAATGGGCGGTAAGGAAACCCAAGCTGGAGATACTGATAAACATTAGAAAACACCATAAAGAATCTCAAAGTCACCAGCTTTTCCATCTAGACTATTCCCCCAGAGCCTCGGGCTCTCAGTAGGGATGGAGCAGTGATGATGATGAAGGAAATAAGTCCCCTTTTCCTGTTGTATCATCTCCAGTGTCCTTTGGGTCTTGAGAACTAAGTCCTTAGTTAATTTTCCAAGAATTAGATCACAGATGGGGGGGGTGCTACTTTCATATTTTCTTGTCACGGGGGGGGGGGGGGTGTCTCTTCCCTTTGCATTTCTGTCTCCCCTTTTCACTCTCTTAGCCTTCTCTCCTGTCCTGTCCTTTTT